TTTCTAGTGAGTGTGTATCTCATTGTGGTTTTAATTTTAACTTCCCTAATGACAAAGGATGCTGAGCATCTTTACATGTGTTTATTTGCCATCCATATATCTTCTTTGTTGACATTTGAATTCAGAGTTTGACCCAGTTTTTTTTTTAAATTGGGTTGTTTGTTTTCTTATTATTTAGAATATATTCTGGACACAAGTCAAAAAGTTATGCTTTTCTACATAGATTCATTTATTTCCCTGGCATATAGAATCGGCAAAAAGAAATTAAGTTGCAGCAGGAAAGAGTATAATTATACCTAAGTACTTTTTGATTGTGATACTAACGTGAGCATTGGGGCAACCAAAGGAGGATATAAAACTTTTCCCTGAGGTATTTAAAAATACGGTTGGCATTTGGATGCTGTAGGCTTGCTGATGTATGACTCAGTTTACCTAATTGCAGTCTTCATTTGAGGAGAGAATCTTTCCTAGGGTGAGTCTGTTGCTAACATCTCAATATTTCTTACTCTTTTGTGCTCTTTTTTCAGGCCAAATATATGCAATTTCTTGGAATTTTTCAAAACTTTCCATGTACTTTATGGTTTTTTAAAATTCATTCTCTCTGATTTTTATCTTGAAATATTGCTATGAAACAGAGGAGGGTCATTCAGGGGCATTAATTGGCTTTAGCGAAAACAAATTGCAATCTCTGGAGAGTAATCAAATCCAAAGAAATGTTCAAACTTCTCTTATCCAGCGGTAGCACAAAGCATTGTTTTAGCTGATAGTATTGGGAAGATTCATTTAACTCTTTGTAGAGGCAAAATAATTAACTAGATTCTAGAGAAGAGGTTCTACGTGATTAATGAAGTCGGGTGGTTTTTAGCTTGTGGAAGGGAAGAGCAAGGGGTGATTTAATGACAGGATTCCAATACAGTTAATGAAGGGTTTTCCTGTGTGTCGAAAACACTGGTCATTTGTTCCCCAACTCCAGAGAGGCTCAAACTAGAGAAAATTGGCTCCAAGTATAGAAAGATTGAGTCTGAGTAGTGTTAGACATAAAACTTTTATTATTGGCATCAATATTATTATGAGATTAAGCAATGGAACAAGTCAAGAGAGGTCATAAAGATATTTTAAAATAAAAAAGATAGCTATCTGCCTGGGATGTTTAAATGTCCATTGAATTATAGGATTTGGTTATTGAAGGGGACCTGAGAGATCACTTATTCTAATCTCCTTTTGCAGATGAGGCTGTGAAAAGACATTATGTAATTTGCCCGTGGCCATATTGCTAGATGCTAATATTTTACTCTGAGGATGTTTTAAAAGAAGCCTCACTCCAGAGACACCAAGGGTCTCTTGTGAGGGTTTCTACTTCACAGCAGCTTTCACTCCACCAAAATAGTCACTTGCCAATGAAGAGCCAATGTACTGACCTGTATGTGTCTCTTCTTGTCATTAAAAATGGTAAGGATTTGTCTTCTTGAACATTTTGAACTTGTCTCTAAATAAATGCTATACCTTAAATGACTGTAGATGATTTGAGCAGAGGTGATCAGTATCAACTGAGGTCAGCAAAGGATACCACCACAACCTTTGGGGAGCCTGTCCCAGTCTGATACAGGGTTCCTCATTAACTTCTGGTTGATGGCTGTGCTACAAAGAGTATAATTTGGTGGATGACTTTGGGTCAGCTATTATGTCCTGGTGACTAATTTGCCTTTCTTAAAGATAATATATTATAGGGGTGCCTGGGTGGCTCAGTCGGTTAAACATCTGCCTTTGGCTCAGGTCATGATCCCAGGGTCCTGGGATCGAGCCCTGTATCAGGCTCCTTGCTCAGTGGGGAGCCTGCTTCTCCCTCTCCCTCTGCCTGCCGTTCCCCCTGCTTGTGCTCGCTCTCTCTCTCTGTCAAATAAATAAAAATCTTTTTTAAAAAAGATATTATAGAGCTTTAGGTTTCGTTTTGGAAAACACTGGTTAGAGCAGTTGGAAACATTTCTAGGCCACCAGTTCATTATGTATAGGGTCTGCAAATATGAGTTCTAACCATTGGAATTAAGTAGGATAAATGGCTTACAAAGGATTACACATCCATTACCATAAATGAAAGAAGTTGGCACAATGCAATTTATTTGATTGTGATTACATTTTATTTGGTAACTCATTCTGTACATGTTCCCACTAGACCATCTAGAGCAAAAGCCTACATATGTTTATATTGTATTATATAGTTATTTTAAAGGGTTTATATGAGTACTAAAAATGTGATAAAATATTCAAAAATACCTAACATCTTGGCTGATCTAGTAGGCACACAATGAATGATCCTACCTTCCCTTCTTTTTTCCTTTCTTGAGTTTCAGTCTTGGGTACTGGAATCTTTCAGAAACCTAACAAATTCTTGTCAAAAGGGAAGTTTGTTCACATTTAAAAGTGTTTATTTAAAAATTACCATCAGTGTATGCTGAGCACTCACTTGACTCAAAGGATGTTTAGATTTTATGAGATTTTAATATCTTTTCAGATACAGTCACCTGAAGAGTTAGGTTCTTTTGGTTCAGGAAAGATTTACTCAGCACCTATGATTTGCTCAGCCAGTCTGGGGCTAGATTGAGGATGCTTTGAATGCCAGAATGAGAAATTTGTATTTAATGTGGCAGTAGAGAGCTATCATGGGTTCTGAAAAGAACCATACTGGAAACCATACTGGAAAGCTAAAAACAAAACTTTTTCAACTGGACCAAAAACATTCCTTCCTGAACCTTCCCCCTATATATATTAGATTAAAAAGAAGAAGGTAAATTCTCTATATACCTTTGTGTAGTCCGTTGAGTTGACCACCCAGTCCTGTGTTTGTGAACTGGAAACCACTCATGGTAAATATGGAACCACACACTGTAAAGTTTAATGGGGTGACTTTCAGCTCTATGAAATTGCTTTGAGAACTTGGCCTTTGAGCAAGTGACCATCATCCCAAGGAGATCCTTGGGACTGTTCAGAACTGTTTTCTCTGAGCCACACACTACCTGCAAGGAAAGAAGGAAGACATGCTATTATGTTCTGTCCCTTTAGAGAATCACTGGCTGCCTGATTGTGCTCATCTCTCAGCCTTTTGTGGAGCCAGAGTAGAAACAATGTGGGGGCTTTTGCTATTGAGAAGAATGTGAAGCTCTTTCACTCAGTCTGCATGAGGGGCCGCCTCAGCTCCTGCCCTGCACACAGCTTATCCCAGCCCGGGAGCCCTGAGGGTAGATCCAGAGTGCTTTTCCAGCTGTCCACGAGGAGGCCAGTAGACCAGTATGCGGCTTACTGATTCAGGGTCAGAGAGAACACCCACTCATGCACAGGGAGGGAAGACTATGCCAAAATTTCCAACTAAATCTACTGATTATTTTCATTGTTTAGGCAAGTTTTATATGATATCTGTATTTTTTCCCTTTATAATACTCCATTTTATTTTGGGTAAAGACTGAAATTAATGATTCCCTTTTAATCTCTAGGGCTTCCAAAGTCTTCGTATTTATGTTGCTATAAAGTCTTTTTCATGTTTTTCCCAGAGTCAGGAAAGAATCATTGTTAAGGTACACCACATTTCATTGCTCCAGAGAGTAAAACCCCTTCTTTCCAACTGTCTAGACCATTTGGTTGGAATCTGAAAAATTCAGTTTCAAATTGAATTTATCTAGGAAAAAAATAATGAAAGAATGAAATGAAATTTCAGATGAAATATAATTTTCATACTTCGTCTGTATATTTTGATATCAACAAGTGACCTGGGATTCGCATTCAGCAGTCATGCATCCTTTCATTTATTTAAGATATGTTTGTAATTCTAAATAATTAAAGAGCATTATTCAAAGAGCTTTTTGAAGTGAGTACCATGCTAGAAAACTTCCTCCGTCCCTGTTGGAAAATTCCCTCGCCGTATTCCCTAGCACCAAAAGGAATGGTATGGATGCAAGTAGCCATTGTCAGTGTACCTGTGCCCCTGTGTTTTTGCCACATATGTGGCTTAGTGCTGTGCCCAGTGTTCACAAGGGCAAGTGGAGGGGTGTCACTGTGATGGAGGCTAATTCCCAGCTCCCAGAGATGATCTTCGGAGAATGTGTCTTCTATGGCTTAACTCTGTGGTTGGGCCGTCCCAGGTGGTTACACACTGCCGTTTTCAGATGTTCTCTTGTGGTTTATTATTGTCAGCATTTCTTCATAAAAACATTTTTTAAAAAAGGTTCTGCTGTGTTGTTTGGAGTTAATTTGCAAAGAACAGTTACTGCTTTGAGCTGCCCGGTAGATAAACATTTAAACAAAGCGTTCTGCCTGCAGATACATACATATTTTTTCTGTCCATGAGAGCTGGCAATGTGCAATTTCTAGTTTAGCTGCTGTCTGCTGCTCTTATTTCTCTCTCACTACCCAAACCAAGGATTTTAAAAAATCAGACTTCAAAAGTCCTGAACCCATTATCCTTCCAAGAAATATATTTGAATAAAGAAATCCATGAGCTGTGCAGAGGGCAAGATTACAGTAAATGCAACTTTTAAGTGCTAGCGGTTGGAGTTGCAGGAAAAGGAACACGGAGTTCAGGTGGTGGTAGGGCCTTTGATGAACTGAAAATTGGTAGAGGAAGGACAAGTAGAGAATCTGGCAACCTTGATGGGCACTGAACTCACCTGAGAATGTGGGAGAAGGGCTTCAGGAATGCCACATTTATAACAAAAACATATGTAATAGTCACAGGATGCACCGAAACGTCTGTGTTTTCAAACTCACTGGTACAGACTTTTTTTTTAGTGGTTTCTCTCTTTTGTGCACACACACGTACCCACACACGTACATGTTTCCTGAAAGCAAGATTTGAAACTAGAAATCTATACACAAATGGAAAGGAAAAAGAACTCTTTGGTGGAACAGCATTAGAAACAGGATTGGAATAAAATTTGGGCCCTGGACCTGAAGAATGAAGGCAGTGGGCCTCACATAAACCAGCCAGTTGCCCCAAAGAAACTCAATCTTCCATCTGTCTTTTCCAGCTCCTTTGGTAGGGAAGGGGAAGGGTGGCCTTTGTGAGCCCTTGAAGCGCGTTTGATACAAGCAAGGCTCTGTGTCCTCAGCCAGTGGTTGAGATAGAGAACACTAAAGAGTTTGTATATGTGTGGATAAAGCTTTTAAGTCTGAAAGGTATTCCACCTTTTTTGCTCTAATAATAGCTACCGCTTACCAATCACTAACTTGTAGGCATTGCATCTTATATGCTTTATCTCATTTAGGCTTCACAACAGGGCCATGAGGTCATTTCTCTTGCCCATTTTTGTAAAAGATAAAAATTTAGGAGGTTCACTGACCTGTCCAAGGTCACACATTAGTCAGCGGCAGGACCTGGATTTAAATGAAGGTCTTCTGGATTCCGGAACATGTTCTTAGCTCCTGTCCTATGTGCTGTATTATTCAGAACTATGAAGACCCTGTTTCTGTTAACTATACTGGAATTAAAAAAATAAATAAATAAAGACCCTGTTTCTGCTCTCCAGATCATTTTGATTCAGCCAATATGACACTTGAGGCTGTTGTGGGGAAGGCAGATGAGATGTGCCCCGAGCTCTGACAGATTTAAATATGCAGTTGCAGGGACAGGGAATGGGAAAGGAAGTGATTGCTTCTGACCAGAGGAGGTACAGTAAGATTTTGTAAAAGAAGTGATACCTGAGCAGAGTTCAGAAGAAGAGGAGTTCCCCAAGTGTAGAGAGTGAAAGGACATTCATTCATTCATTCCAGTGAGAGTGAGTTGTATGGGCAGAGGTGCTAAGGATGAAACAATAGTTGGTTTGACAGAACATATGCAGTTGGCTCTTGGACAACTCGGGGGTTAGGGGTGCTGACCTACCCCATACAGTTGAAAATCTCCATATGACTTTTGACTCCGCCAAAGCTTAACTGATAGCCTCCTGTTGGCTGGAAGCCTTGTACTGATAACAAACAGTTGATTGACACATATTTTGTATGTTATATGTGTTGTATGCTTCATTCTTACAATAATGCCTAACTTCTTAATTTTTTCTGTATTTCTAGGCTACATAGTTCCTCTGTGAGTTTTTCAAATTGACACAAATCTCCCCCCAATTTTTTCCAATGTATTTACTGAAAAAATCTGCATATAAGTGGACCCGTACAGTCCAAACCCATGTTATTCAAGGGTCAACTTTATAGCAAGATTTTTCTTTTAAAATAGTATAGCCTGGGGTCTCAGCCTCTTCATTCTCAGGCAGCCTGCAGAGATAACCTGCAAGGTAGGGTTATCACACCTTTTATCACTAGATGACCATTCCCTGACAGCAGACGGCCCTGCTGTAAGAAACACCATCATGGCAAAGCATTCTTGAGTAAATCTGGTGAGGGACTTGGGAGTAAGTCACACATAGCTTCTTTAAACTCGGCCCAGCTCCCAAGATGCCAACCCCTTAGTCAGGTAGGGGCATCTAGAGAAGGCGGGTGACCGTCTTTATCAACAGGAGAAGTTTGGGGGCTTCTGTTTTGTACAAGGTACCGCCTGACCTCTGGCAAGTGAGGAAAGGACTGGAGGTGGGTCTGCGAATGCAGAGGAACCGGGGGAGCGTTGGTTATGTCAGTAAGGGAGAATGGAAGGGGGTATTAGCTGGATTGTGAAGTCATTCTGAGACTTCTCTGAAGACTTGCACTCTGATTCTTGTGAAATGAGGGATTCACACAAGGTCGCTGGACCTTATGAAGTCCTTTCAAAAATACCTCCCTCGCATTGCCTCAAAATGTTTCTCAGCCATTCTGCCTTGTTGTGAGGATTAAATGATGTAATACATGCAAAGATTTTACCACTAAGTCTGGCCCTCTATAGCTGCTCAGGAAGTGTTAGTTGTTATCAGCATCATCTTTATTGTTGTTGCTTCACCTTCTACCAATTAGAGACTTAATGACTCAGTAAGCCACTCACACTTCAGCGTGACTAGGTTGAACTTTTCCAAAGGTTTTCCAAGACTGAGGATTTTGAGGCAGCTGCATTGTCAAGTCTTAGAAAGACTGGATTTTGGCTGGGAGCCTGGGTGGCTCAGTTGGTTAAGTGTCTGCCTTTGGCTCAGGTCATGATCCCAGGGTCCTGGGATCAAGTCCTGCTTTGGGCTCCCAGCTCAGCAGGGAGGCTGCTTCTCCCTCTAGCTCTGCTGTTCCCTCTGCTTGTGCTCTCTGTCAAATAAATAAGTAAAATCTTAAAAAAAAAAAAAAAAAAAAAAGACTGGACTTTGCAGATGGATAGACCCTAATTGGAATGCAGGATCTGCCACTTACTAGTTTTATGATCTGAAGTATGTTGGGAAACCTCACTTTCCTCATCTTAAAATAGGAATGATGATAAGGACATTGTACTGAAGATGTATATGGGAAATTGTGTGTGTATGTTTGTAAATCCGTTGTGTCTTTTGAGAGAGTCCATAGTGTACATGAGATCCTGAAATGTTTTCATGATCCTGCAAATATTAAAAACAAAACCAAAAAACACACTCATTTTGAGATTTCCTACATACTTGTAAAGCTTGTGTTTTTATTAGCTGGGAGATATGTTTATGCTCCCTCGATTTCCAGGTGTGAGCTACAGCTTGGAAGAGCCCACAAGCTCCATCTTGGAGACATGGGATAGTGGTTCTGGCCTGGGTGCTACTGCTTATGTATCCTGGAGGGTCCACTTAGCTTTTCTGAGCTTTGTTTTACGTTTCATTTATTAACTTAGGTTTATAATGCCTTCATGTCCTGCAGGAATGTTGCATGATAAATATGGGTGTGCAGGTGTTTATTTTAAACTGCCAAGGCTGTATAATTGCAGGATGCAGGTATTACAATGACAGGTGTGCTGAGAGCACAGTAGGCACTCAGTAAAGATGAGATTAAAATGAACGTGGAAAGGGTTCATTGGAGTGAAAGGAAAGGTCTCAAGGTTCGGGTGTCTGCATGTCCAGCACATCCTGTGGAAGGACCTAGTGTTCAGACCTAGAACACAGCTGGGGTGACTGAGGACATGGTTTCAAACAATAGTAAAAGGAGAAATGACCTTTGAGATCCCAAATCCATTTGCTTTATTTTCCAGAAGAAATTGAGGCTTAGAGAGACAGGAGCAGTCCCACTTCTTTTTAGAAGGACTTGAGGTTCCTTCTCATCACTCTTAATGGAGGCTTTAAACAAACAAACAAAAAGCCCCAAACCAAAACAAAACTCATTGCCTTCATATCATCAGTTTGTTGTCTTACCTTCTTAAAAATGGTTCAGTATTCACACCACAGTCTTAATTCTCTCATTGAAGCCATTTAGAGGCCTGCAATTCTTAGAAAATGCTGATCTTGTACTGGACACAGGCACATTGCACTATGGAAACTTTCTGTCTCCAAAGCATCTTTCCCCTTGGAATGTTCTCATAGACATCAGGTGAGAACACCATGTATAGATTATTGCTACCACCGTCAGCTCAGCTGAAACCCAGAGAGGTTACTGTGACTTGTCCAGGTCATAAAACAGTGTCCAAAAGCAGGATGGAGATCCAGGTGTTCTGATTTTCCATCCTTTCTAGCCCCTAGACTCTATTGCCAGAGAGCATCTCTGCTTGATTTTGGCACATTTACTGAATCAAACTAGGAGACTCTATCCAAGGGAAAGATAGATTTTAGCTTCAAATATATTTTGCTCAGGGCTAGAAACACTGTGTTTATATCCTCTCACACTCCAGGCCATATAGACCTGGAGAAAAGCTAAATCTCATAAGACCCCTTCCTGCCCCCAGTAACTGACAAAACAGTAACTTGGAAATGTTTTTTGCTTAATGGTTGTGTGTGTGTGTGTGTGTGTGTGTGGACTATAATCTGTCCTTCCATTTTAACAATGTGCAATAGAGAGGAGTTTGAAATTACTTTTAATCGTTGTTTCACAATGAGTAATAATTAAATATTACTTTTAAAGTAAGCTTCTCTTTTTCTGTAATTGCATTACTTTCTTGAGGGGAGATTTTGTTTTGCTCTTTAACCTGATTGTGTGCATTTGGAAAGTACCCTAGCACAGGGTATCCGAAAACAGAAAATTCTGGCACTTTTCCCACTTTCCATTCTTTCTCCTGTATGGATGCCAGATTCCTTTGGGAAATCATCATTTACTGAAGGTCAGGAGCAAAAGGAGGGGCATTCTTTAGTGTACAGTTACTGCTAATTAGAAACTAAACATCTGTAACCATGTCAGAGTTATTTGTATTTGAAAAGAAACATTTATATACAAGAGCCCAGTTCGGTAACATAAAACACACTCTAACACAAAGTGTGTGTGTTGGAGGGGTAGGGGACAGACAGATGAGGAAGCTTCCGACAAATGACTGGGCTGAGTGAGGTCATTTGCTAATTAAGTCTCAAAGCATTTTCAGGGTATTTTCTTTTCTCTGTCAAGTGAAGTTTTCTCAGCCCCCCCCCACCATGAGCCAAAGCAAACATTTTACTGTATTTGCCAATTAAAGATTAAACATTTAATCATTTTAAAAGAAAAATACGTAGGAAATGGGTGATTTGGCAGAACCTAGTCAAAGACCGCTGGGAAATCTCTAGCTACCTACTGTAACATTAGCCCTCAGTGTCTTCCCATAGTACAGGTAAGGTGAGCTCTTCTCCATCCATAAAATAAGTGCTGATTGACCTATTTCACAGACCTACACTTGTAGGGGGAAAAAATGACACAGTGCTTGACTTACCACTCCCCATGATGAAATTCTGTTTGGATCATTCCAAACAGAAATTATATAGAAATTGTGTCCTTTTATTGTCATGTTAAGATAAATGTCAGTGATACCTCTGGGGTATTAGAAATGTTTCAGTCATAGGGCTTTGTCCCTCCACATGCTAAGCCTACATGGCCCAGATCTTACCAGTAATTCCTTTTGGAACACTAAGTAATTTTGAAAACAAAGCAAGAGACTATCTCTTTCCTCCACAGTCTACTGTTTTCTAATCTTCCCTATCCTTGTCTTGGCATCTGAGATATTTCTCTAAGTTGAGTTACTTTTTAAATTGGATAAAAAGATCATGGAGTCTTGAGAGTTCTAGATAACAACTTATTTAAGCCAACACCTATCATATTGGGCCTTCCTCTCAAATAACACTATCTCTTTGAAGGCTCTCAAGTGCACAGTTTCAACAAAATGGTTGTGGACTCTCAGGTTCTGAGTGTTTACAAAGTCAAGAGGCCCTTAGATGACCTGCGTTTCCAATGACCTTTGTAGAATCTCAAAATACCACTTGTCCGTGACTTTCACTGATTTAAGAACTGGCTTTTATTCAAGCTCTTGGGTGTGAGTCAGCCTAGAGGCAAAGGTTCAGTGACTTGAGGGTCCAACTCTTGTTCTCTTAACAATAAGTTCAAGATCATGTAGTCTGCCCTTTGTGGCACTACCCAGTCTGGCCGGACCCACTTCTCAGCCTGAAGTTCCACTGTTATTTCTGAGCCTCTACTTTAGGCAGACACATCTACCTGTACCTTGAGCATTTTTACCCTTGCTTTATCCCACTGTTTCTGGTTGAAACAACTTCCTGGTTTCGGCCTTCTTAGAATCATGCTTACTTTCCTGAGTTCTATCCTTCTCGATACCACCACCTACAGTCTTATCCTCATGTAGCCATAACATGATAATCACTTGCTTATTGCTTTTCCAAGACTGTCTTGTGCTTTTAGTCATCTTCTCAAATGTACTGCTCATCTTGCCACCAGAGTAGAGGCTCCCCAGAGACCAAAATGACTTTTATTTCTCATGGCACTTATCATTTCTTCATTTTGAGTGCCCAATGAATAGTTGTTTGATGGTTGAGGAGGAAGCTATTTTTGCTACTACCTATTTATTGAATCATTCCCAAAGCCGATCTGCATTTATCCCTATTATAAAACCATAGCTATTGGGGCACCTGGGTGGCTCACTCGTTAAGTGTCTGCCTTCAGCTCAAGTCATGATCCCAGGATGGGATCGAGCCCCACATCAGGCTCCCTGCTCAGCGGGAAGCCTGGTTCTCCCTCTCCCACTCCCCCTACTTGTGTTCCTGCTCTTGTCTCTCTCTCTGTCATATAAATAAACAAAATCTTTATATTTGCAAATGACATACCAGATAAAGGGCTAGTATCCAAAATCTGTAAAGAACTTATCAAACTCAACACCCAAAGAACAAATAATCTAGTCAAGAAATGGGCAGAAGACATGAACAGACATTTCTGCGAAGAAGACATCCAAATGGCCAACAGACACATGAAAAAGTGCTCAACATCACTTGGCGTCAGGGAAATCCAAATCAAAACCTCAATGAGCTACCACCTCACACCAGTCAGAATAGCGAAAATTAACAAGTCAGGAAACGACAGATGTTGGCGAGGATGCGGAGAAAGGGGAACCCTCCTACACTGTCGGTGGGAATGCAAGCTGGTGCAGCCACTCTGGAAAACAGTATGGACGTTCCTCAAAAAGTTGAAAATAGAGCTACTGTACGACTCAGCAATTGCACTACTGGGTATTTACCCCAAAGATATAAATGTAGTGATCCGAAGGGGTACATGCACCCCAATGTTTATAGCAGCAATGTCCACAGTAGCCAAACTATGGAAAGAGCCTAGATATCCATCAACAGATGAATGGATAAAGAAGATGTGGGGTGTGTGTGTACACACAAACACACACACACACACACACACACACACACACACTGGAATATTATGCAGCCATCAAAAAAATGAAATCTTGCAATTTGCAACACCATGGATGGAACTAGAAGGTATTATGCTAAGTGAAATAAGTCAATCCGAGAAAGACAAGTATCATATGATCTAATTGATAGGAGGAATTTGAGAAACAAGACAGAGGATCATAGGGGAAGGGAGGAAAAGATGAAACCAGAGAGGGAGACAAACCATAAGAGACTCTTAATCTCAGGAAACAAACTAAGGGGTGCTGGAGTGGAGAGGGGTGGGAGGGATGGGGTGGCTGTGATGGACATTGGGGAGGGTATGTGCTATGGTGAGTTCTGTGAATTGTGTAAGACTGATGAATCACAGACCTGTACCCCTGAAACAAATAATACTTTATGTGCTAATAAAAAAAAAACCATAGATATTAATGATACTTATATGAAAAGGAAAATCACCTGTAGAGCTAACACTACTACACACACAATCATTGGAATAAGGGAAGTATAAAAAAAAAATTTGGAATAAGGAGGAACTCCTGTCTCCCCCAACTCGGATGTCTCCGCTGGAGCTAGATAGAACATTAGCATATACAAAGGCATGTATGTGGAAATGAGTATTGAATGGTCTTGTGTTTTTTCTCCCCAGATGTGGTCGCTCACCTGTCTACCGCTCCCGTGAAATGGCAGCTCGTGCCTTGGTTCCATTTGTTATGGTAGATGAAATCCCCGCTACCATCCGAACTCTGTTGGCCAAACTCCCCAACTGCACTGACCAGTGTTTCCGGCAAAACCATATTCATGGGACACTTCTCCAGGTAAATACAGTTACTTTGTGTCAAATAGCACAGGATAAACTTTGGTTTCTCATGTACTGTTGGCAGGTAAAGATTTGATACACAAGCTTTTAACTTTATCTGTGGAACTTTTTTCTATTGCTGAAAGAATAGGTATTTCCTAGGTGTGCTTTTTTTCATTACAAACATAAGTACAGCATCACACTGTGATTCAGTCAGATCGTCTTTTGCATTAAATCCTGTTTCAGGTGCGCCTGGGTGGCTCAGATGGTTGAGCATCTGCCTTCGGCTCAGGTCATGATCCCGGGGTCCTGAGATCAAGCCCCGCATCGGGCTCCCTGCTTGGTGGGGAGTCTGCTTCTCTCTCTCCCTCTACTGTTCCCCTGCTTGTGCTCTCTCGCTCTCTCTGTCAAATAAATAAATAAAATCTTAAAAAAAAAAAAAAAACCTGTTTCATACAGCATTTGGACTTACCTCTCTGAACCATTTAGAGTTTTGTCTTTTCCATCAAGTACCTACAGAATATTCTGGGCCACTCTGTTCAGGGTGAAGTTGTGAGCTTTCCTTGAAAAAGAGGTTAGCACCAGACACAGAAGGAGAGTTATACACATCAGGGAGAGTTTGCCTCGCAGCGTTAACACCATAGTACGTGGAAAGGTCAGTCCCTACTTTCCTGTTTTCTCTGTGCTACAAAAGAGACTTTTTATTTTTAATAAATATACAAATACACTTATCGCCTTTTTTTTTTTAAATATTATTTATTTATTTATTTGACAGAGAGAGACATAGTGAGAGAGGGAACACAAGCAGGGGGAGTGGGAGAGGGAGAAGCAGGCTTCCCGCTGAACCAGGAGCCCGATGCGGGGCTCAATCCCAGGACCCTGGGACCATGACCTGAGCCGAAGGCAAACACTTAATGACTGAGCCACCCAGGCACCCCATACTTATCACTTTTAACTTACCATTTCCTCTAGAAAGGACTGAAGTACAACAAATGAATGAGAAATAGACTTCTTACTGAAAATGTCTTTTTTAAGCCCTACCTATCACTTAGGGAGCAGATGGTAATGGTGAGATCTGTTCATGTGTCTGCTGGGGTCACTCATGGTGGGTTGGTATTGCAGGGGGATTTAAATATCAAATCATGTGTCTGGTTTGTGAGCAGAGTTGAGAGGTGGCCTTGCGATCTCAAGGTATGATAAGCTTGAGGTCTACCCTGCCAACACGAGAGGCTGCATATAGAGTAGTTAACGGCATGGGACTCTGGAGCCAGACGGGCTCAGTGTCCATCTCAGATCTACTACTCAATACCTGCACTTCTCTCTCTTCATTGTTTTTATTAAATTTTTTATTTTAATTAGTGTACAGTTAACATACAGTGTTGTGTCTTCATTTTTGAAATAAGGATAATAGTAATGTATACCTGCTAGGGGTTATGTGAAGATTAAATGAATTAATGCATATCAAGTGCTTAGAATAGTATCGGGTACATAATACGATATATAGTTACTATTGTTATTATTATCATAGCTTTGGTGAGCTTGTACCATAATGAACACTAGTATTTTTAGTAACTGATTCCCTCTAGGTGAGAATGAATGCAAGAGAGACCTATCTTCTTGCCTTCCTTCCTTGGTCGCTGTATATATATTCAGCAAGTAGTTATGGAATGCCTCCTACCTACTACTGTGTCCTTCACAACAGTTGTTGCATTGAAGGAGTCAAAGCCCCCCCAAAAAAGGCCTAACGTGGGCAATCACAGTGTAGTGCGCTACATGCTAGGGGAGCCCACAGCAGGCCACCTGACTGGTTTTGGGCAAGTCAAGGAAAGCTTCCCAGAGAAAACGACATCTAAGTAAAGAGCAGAAAAAGTTAGCCAAGCAGAGGAGGGAGGGGGAGTCTCCCACACAGAGAGAACAGCACAAAGCAAGGCTCAGGGTGGGTGAGAAGTTGCCCCGTCTAGGCGCTACAAGCTTCGGTGGGACCAAGCTCCAGGTTGGCTGGTCTCACACTGGTCTCAGGACCTCTTTAACCTTAAGGAAGTTATTGAGAATTCCAAAGAGCTTTTGTCTATCGATATTTAATTAGACTCTGAAACAGAGAATCTTAAAGCACAAGAACCCACAAGCACACATTCCATTAGTCATGATGAGAGTGATGACACCCCCACACACCTTGTAGCTGACTCCACTGTGCGCTGCACGAGAAGGAGAGTAAAGGAGGGGAGGAGTGGCCTAGTGGCATTTTGAAAATAGTTTGATCTTGCAGATCTCCTGAAAAGAGTGTGGCGACCCCCAAGGGCCCCAGAGCAGACCTCTGGTCTGTGTTGTATATACTGCAGGTCTTTCGTGGAGGCCCTCAAGCGCTCGTCTCCCTTGGTCCTCACTATATCTCGGTGATGAAGACAGGACTGGAGGGCATTATCTGGGTTTTCAGTGTGGGACCCTGAGGCACATACAAGTTAGATGGTTTGATTCTGTCAGACTCTGCTGCTTTGAAGGGAAGGAGCCGGCAATGATGAGTAACAGAGAACAGGCTTTTCAAAGACGTCTAGATTCTGCAGCTGAATTAGAAGGGGGGCTCAGATCGTTAAGGGAGAGGGGGGATCAGCCATCAGATTTTCTCTCCTGCAGATCCACTCTTGGCTAATTTTGTCAGAAGTGGTGAGGCTGGATTTGCTTCTTTGGCTGTCTCGCCACTTGTACAAATGGGCTTCCCAGCCTCGTTTCCCGCACACAGCACTGACAGGTCTGGCTTGTGTCTCACCGCTCTGCCCAGCAACAAAGCATGGTCTTCTGCTCTGTCTCTGGGCTGCCTCTGATATCTCAAATTTACTTTTCCTGTGACCTAAAGTGTGAAACTCCGTGGAAAGGGAAAAAGCCCGTAACTCCAGGTTGGTTGTGGCTGTCGCCTTTGTTCCTGAGTGTTGGGAGATGAGGGGCTTGTTGAAAACGAAACAGAACAGTATGGGTGTTGGGTGTTGGGTATCGTGTTATTGTTTGTCAAACGAATTCCTGTCTTTACCAAGATTGGTTTGTACCCTGGGTGAAAAAAAGGAAGTCAAAGGCATGTGAATATCTTTCCGTCGTGTCCATTTGGGTGTCTCATCTGTGTTGTAATAGCTCGGTTTCACTCTCTTGTTCTTTGTGAGGAAAGCATAAGGGGTTAAGATGGGGAGGGCTCTTTTTCTCTTTCCTTTCTACAGCTTTTGGATTCCTTCTCCACATAAAGCTACCTTTGAAACCTGTAAGAGGCCTGCACCTGGAAAAGAGGTGTTGGGATTGAAAGGCATGAGAATCTCCATGGGACTTTCAGAGCCAGCTAAGTAAACATAAAATTGCTATTTTTTTTTCAAAAGGAGGAAATCATTTTGTAATCAGAAAACAAATTCTTTCACAGAATGTTTTCTTGAATTACACATTTTGGCTTCTTTGAAAAATATTTACATAAATATATCAAACCTCAGAGTATTTCTATAAGATACCTTGGAAATGAGAAATATGCTGATCTCTGAATTTTCTGGAATGATGGAAGAAAGACTCAAATTATAGGACATGCATAAAAAGAAAACATGTGGGAATCAGTTTCTTAATCATTTTAAAAACCAGAGGTTTCTAATTGCAATGTTGAGACGGATGGAAGTAATGCACATGAGAAAAGGTGAGATTATGCAGCCGGTTCGTAAGAGCCAGTGGTAAATGACATTAAATCTCCATAAAGGCTAGATAAGAGCCATGGACATTACTTCATTTGGGAACAACACTGGCTGGCAGGGCTACCCTGTCTTTTAAGTAGAATTAACCGTCTGTTTTTGTTGCCAAAATTCTTCATGTTGGGGCCTTAACATTATTACTAGGTTACTTATCACTCCCGAGAAATCATATTGGCATTCAAAATGTTTTCTTGTGTTGAGGAAGCGTTTTGGCCAACAATTACGAGGCAAGATTTATTCTGATTCTTGGGTACTTAACTCACATTTTGGTGTTTCATAAGGAAATATATACCATTTGAAATAGAAACTTGAATTTTGAGTTTTTTTCATTTTCTGTTTTTGTTCTCTTTCTCATGATACAAACATATGATAGGTGGTCCCTGCTCTTTCTTTACTTAAACTCTCTTATATGAGTAAAGTGGACAGTTGAGGTAATTCAGCTTCTGCTGAAGCAGGAAAACCCACTTTTGCATTGATGTGAACATTCTAGGCAAAGGTGTTCTTTTTTCACCGGTTAATCCACATAATACCCACAGTTCTAAACATCCCTTTGCTGGTATTAAATTTTCTCAGTTTTTGCTAGCATAATCTGTTGAACACCTTGTTTAATTCTCTTATTCCTCCACCCCTTCCCCTACCACCCAAATTTGGAGCCTTAATTTTTGCACTTGGAGAATTCTGAGTCACTTTTCTGGCTGTAGAGCTGAGCAGCAGTATTGCACACTTGGGTTGACATGAAATATTAGCTGGGGATGGACTTTAGGCAGCCTAGGCCCATGCATTTGGTGAGTTTGCCATAAAAGAAGTAAAATGAACGTTTTTGAGCACCTCCTGCAGTATGTAAATTACATATGTGATTTCATTAATACTCTCAGCAATCCTGCCAGGTGTTTAGAAAGCGCCTCCTGATAGTTGATGTGAATAACAACTTTTTCTGCCTAGGGAAACCAAACAAAGAATCCATCTTCGCTCTTTTTAATCTCTTGTTCCTCAGTTCTGAAAATCTGATTTGATGCTGGAAACAAAGTAAATCCATCGGTGTTACAAAGACAGAGGGACAGAGGAAGTCAGTGAAGCCCTAAGAGGCTACAACTAGTAAAAGACTTTTTGGTTTTTTAGTATAGTTGACACACCATGTCACATTAGTCTCAGGTGTACAACATAGTGATTTACCAACTCTACACATGATGCTGTGCTCACCACAGGTGTAGCTCCCGTCTGTCCCATTACATCGCTATTACGGTATCACTGACTGTATTCCCTATGCTGGGGCTTTCATCCCTGTGACTTATTCATTCCATAACTGGAAGCCTGGATCTCCCACTC